TCATTCACGAATATATCAAATATATATACTTTACAAACAAAAAATGGCAATTCAATTGAAAAAAAAACGTTTTTAGACTAGATAGATGTAGGACGACATCGACAACGTCGTCTTCAACGATGATGATGACAGTCGCAGCGAATGGCTTGGTTTGGGTGTCCAAACCCTATACGATACATTAGGTATCAAGAAGAGAGAAAAAAGAAAAAAGAAAAAACGAATAGGTAGAGAAACGAAAAAAAAGTGGCGCCAAATGTTTTTCGTTCGAAAAACGTCCTTCAACAGGGCCGAGGACCCGGCGATTTCTACCCGAAAGCAACATCAGACGCTCGAACGGTTTCCTCTTTTTTTCTTGTTCTCTCTTTTATTGTACATCACCCTCTTGCTTTTTCATTCTCTTTTCTATCATCTGTATCTGTTTCCTTTGGAATTTCCTAAACTTCTTTTTTCTTTTCTTTCTCTTTCCCTCATCCTTTTTTAACGCGAGGACATGAAAAGTACTGCTAAATTTGATGGTAAAGAGATTGGCATGAAAGGACTGCAAATCACAAGACGTTATTGTTTGTTTTACAAGTCAATGGTTTATTTCTCTCTAGGTGGCAGAAGAGGTTGCTGAAGGAACTCGCAGAAGGTTGTGCAACGCCGTAATGAGCGAAACCCAGACTGTAGATGACGAAATGGAAAAAGAGAGAAGAACAGAGAAAGGTCTGCTAGGCTGAGCTATCAATCTAAAAAAAGAGAAGAAGATACTAGAGAAAACGATTTGACATAGTAATGAAAGTTTTGTGCCGGTAACAGAGTTGTCTGTACGTCGGATGGGACAGATCACGAAGTGTTTCTGCTATCATCTGCCAACGAAATGGTGTGTTGTTGGTAAACTGCTGCTCAGAAGACGATGACTGTTGCCGCCGCCTTTATCAAGTTGATAGGTAATCCAAATGAAATTTGAAATTAAAAAGAAATTTCAAGTTCTGCTCAATTAAGCTATGAAGATAAGAAAAAAGTTTTAAAACACTCGCAGTTAGGTTTTAAATTGCATTCGAGACTGATAAGATTTGCTGAATTCTTTTTTTCTTTTCTCGAATCATAAAGTTCTTTGTTTCATCAAACATTAGGATTACGGTAATTTTGAAGAAAACCGTCCCATAAAAGGAAATTTCTAATAAAAACGAAAGAAGTTCGGTGTCGGATGAACGAAAACAAGAAAGTCTTTGCCGCGACAGGGAGTTCTGTCCTTTCAGCCATCTTGTGTGCTGTTTATTTACTGAAACAAACCATAAGGAAAAGACATCTTGCTTTATTTGGAGAATAAGTTGTCGATAGATAAGAGTAAGCGATGTTGAAAACCAAGGGAGAGTACCCTTTTGCATAGTTTATCTTATCATCCACGGAACAACAGAGAAAAAACCTGAAGATGGGAGTCAGAGCGGGACTGGCAAATCCTTTTTTTCCCCTATTTGTTTGCGATTCGATGTAGTATGTTCAACCCTGGCTTAATGTTTCTATCTATCACCTGCATTAGCAATAGCAAAGTCTCCTTTCCTTCCAACACAATTCTCAATCACCTTCTGCTATTGAGATTCCTCAGAATGAATGACGTAATTATGAGGAAACTTCTCGAATTTGAGTCTACCAACAGGGGCGTGATTGGCTTGAGCAACAACAAAACCTTCATTATTGGACAGATGATTGAATTCCTTATTGAGAGCCATGTGAATGCTTGTTAAAAGAAAATCCCGACAAGCCGGATAGGAAGGAGCCAGCTGTGAAAACGGAACGGTCAAAGCTTACTCCCTTCATCGAGTTTTCAATAGCTTCCAAATTAGAATGTTCAAAAAAGGTCGTGGCACATATAGAAGTTTCCTTTTAATTGCCGTTTAGGTTTATTCGCCAAAAATGGGATGATGTTTACAATTCGATCTTGAACCCAGAGACTTCCATCTGCCATAGGCCCTCTCAAAATCCCTAATTCATTATAAATTTGAGGCGTTTCAGAAGTAATAGATTAATAGGCGATCCAATAAGCACTCGGGGATGTCACTAATCCTTTTCTAGAGCTTGAGCAATATCGCCTCATGAGTTTCATCTCCTTCTGTAAGCTTGTCAAGCTTCATAAGAAAACCCATGCCAAAGGGATAGAAAATTATACAAAAAGGAAACATTCTGGTTAAAGAGTGCAAGAGGAAACATTGGGAGGGAGGAGAAACAAAGTAATTGGGAGATAAGGGCAGAACAGGAGGGGAAAAGAAAAAGAGAGTTAGCACAAAGCGTAAACAATGCAAGAGTGGCTGGTACTGCCTGGTGCCGATCAGAATTAGACGGGTCAGAGTGGTCACTCTCGACCATTTTGACCGATCAGACATACAGAGGGGCTCCTGAAAAAAAGGTTCCAAGCCCCACCCACGCAAGTGTCCTAATATTAAAAAAAGGTTTGGACGGGGACCAACACTTTTGCGTTTCTTGCGATCTCATCTACAAGAAAGAAACGCGATATCTGCATCATTCCGAAATGTAAAGAGGATTGCGCAATGGATCAGGAACCGTCTCAAGAAAAGGCGTACCCGATGAAAAACTGCTTCATCAAAAGAGCCTCCTCCATCATCTTTGCAACAAAGCCACGTTGGTCTGAAAAAAAATATCTCAGAACAGTTGTTTTCCGTTTTTTGTACAGTCGCTAAAAAGTAATGTGATTACCAGACAGAAGTGTCCTGAGAGAAAACAGAAAAGTACCTGGCCGGTTGACCTCATCACGTTGAGGTCATATTTGGACAGATAATCTGTCTCAACAAATGTCCTTTTTTATTTGTGGCACTACTCACATTGTGCTTTCGCAAATTATGAATGCGTTCAGAAACACATGCCTGAATATAAAAAGAAAGAAAGGAGAAATCTGATTTACAGTAAATCCCAACGATGTTTCTGGTTCTGTGTTCTCGCCTACATTTCAGCCTGTCAGTGCATAAACTTGGATTTCCTTTCTCTGAAATTTGAAAAGAAAAACGGATAATTTTGATTATGGCTCTTATTATATCTCATTAATTTCTATTGATTGTTTATTGGGATAAATGGATCCACTAAACTTCGACGGCTGTCGCGTTTCGTGTCCTCATTGACCGAACAGATAGAAGGAACGAATACGAAGTAAAGAGAGAAACACATTAAAGAAACATTATCTATATATCAATCTTCGTATCTGATATATGCAAATAAATCCAAAATCGGATGGGAAAAAGTAAGGGAACTACAACATTTCAAACCTTATTATACATTTACCTTTCCTCATTTCCTTTCCAAGCAGGAGTATCCAATTCATACTTGTTGATGGCTGTTCCTGAAAAAAAATGATGGTACCTAGGAAACTGAAAACGACTCACTCATGTAACCATGTTTCTCGGCTAACAACCAACCGGCGGCTTCTCAACTCGAACTGACTATTTGAAACATGATAGTAAACTTGGTCAAGATTATTTTCTTCTCCATACTCATTCTACTTGCAATAGTTGGTAGCACATTCCTCCTGGCTGAGTGAGTGGCTTACTGATCTGAACACAAATAGCTCGTTTTAGATATATCTATGATTCTGAGTGGAGGTGGGAGCTTCGCGACATTGAATCTTTCAAAGAGTTGAGCTATCTCGATTCTTCTACAAGATTCATAGACTCAGGTAGACTGTATGCTTTCCTGGAAGAAAGTCCGACACAAGAAGATGTTGAAGGTAAACTTACTTTTTCATTTGAAAACACAACCGATCTTTGCAACCGTTCACCGCCATCTTTTTGTTGAAAATGAAATTTTACGTGGATGCTCACGTAACTTTATTCCACGTTTAATTTAAAACTCCCGTGAAAGGTCACGTAAAGTGCAGATGGACTTTCATGATAGACCAAGAGAAGCGAGAGTAATAAACTATTTTACGTAACATTTTCGCAGATTTCTTCACGAAACTATTTGATTCCTATTACCCCACAAAGCGTCATGGAAAGTCATTGTCAACATCAATAGAGTGGAGCCGTGGATCGAGGTTTATAGTTCCAGAAAGAATTTTATTAATGATCCAACAGCCTATGGATGGTGATATCAGAAGCCTTTCTTTTTCGGAATCATCGAAATATACATATTCGATTTCTGGGAACTCAGATATTTCTTATTATCCTCAGAGTTCTTGGATCTGTGCTTGCTGTAATAGCGATGAGTTTTACAAGTAGTAAAAACAGCTGGTTGAAAATGCAATATAGGTTCTATGGCTTACTCTATATACTGGGTTTGTGAAACGGTCCTCGGAATATGTCTTGGTATGGGTGTAAATCCTAGTCCAAAAAAATGCTTGTCAACGAAGTATCAAAAGAAAATAATAATCCGAGATATTCTATTGATTGTAATTGCGCTACTGAACTTAGCTGGCACTCTTTTGGCAGGTGAAGCTGAGCTGAAACCCGTAGTATTTCCTAGCGCCTTTCAGCAACAACAACCTTGAAAAAATTCAAATCTGCCGACTTCGAAACGTCCCTGTTGGATGCTATCCTGAGAACAAGATCTGTATATGTTTCGAGTATAGCTGAAAATGAATCGAACAAGGTTAACAGAAACAAATAGATGAATTTTGAACAGGGACTATTGTAGATGTCTGTTTCCCAAGCTATGTACTTCACAGCCCTGAACTTGCTGCTTCAATCTGCAACAACACTAGTTTTCTATTCCATCCTAGTCCTTTACAAATCTTGGAAAAACTCGGATTGCGTAGTGCTGACCAACGAGGAATTCAAAGATGTCCTTCGGAAGAGAGGGCTGCTATCTGAAGCAGGCACGTTTCATACTTTCTGAAAAAAACTGTTATCGAAATTACAGATATCAAAGACAAAATGGATTAAATCGAAGACTCTCCCATCTTTTCGTCATGTTGCATCAGCTGGATGATAAAAATAAAAATTTATTGACAAGATCGTATGAACAAAGTACAAACTGTTTGATTAACACCCGTAAGTAGAACATCCTTAGAGGAATCACTCGTATTTTCTTGGCCAAGCCGGCCTCATGGCATCAAAATCTTCAAAAGATTGAGATAACCCGAGGCAATCCACAATATCCCGCTGAACTTCACCTTCAGTCTCAGAAGTCTCAGTCAGCAAGTCTTTATCTTCTTCGAGGGAGAGCAGCTTCCTGAATTCATTTTTACTTTTGTTCACCTAAGCAAGAACTTACTTGCATAACGACATGTTCCGAACTATATTTTGTAGACTAATTTGCTTATCAAGCAGAGCATGCTCAGCCCAGAAAGGTCCCAGCGATTTTCTGGAAGGAAAAAACAGTAACAGAATGATGAAATAGCATGTAATACCTTTGAAGTTTCAAACAGCTTGCAGTTGTTCCTAAACTGACTCCGATTTCATGAACGAAGCATCTGTAGGGTCAAGTTTGAACCTTATTACTGTTTCTTCTCACCTGAGATAGCTATCGGTTTCACCAACAGCTTGAATGTTCAGGGCAAAGTAAGGAGGATCGAAGCTGTCCAAGTCGATTTTATAAATCAGCTGGGCACCGGGTAGCTTTGCTCTGGGTATTCCTTTCCTTGCCAACTCGAAAGCTTTCTCACTCTAAAAGACTTACTGAAGTTAGACGTTTAAGTTTGGCACAACCTGTAGGTCAACTTCGGCAGACTCGAAAGCACTTTTGCGGTAATGAGCTTGAACTCTTGTGAGAAGTTTAATCATTCTATGTCGTGTAACATGGTCTGAAGTCTAGAAGATGACTTAGTTCACTATATCAATCCTACCGTATGCAGCCTTCAAAGTGACCTTACCCTTGATTTCATGCTTCAGTGTTTCTCTACCTAATATCCCTTCTAGTCTATACTCATTCACCAAGGATCTTGACAGTATTTCAGGAATCTGCTCACAACCTTCGTTTATGCCGAATACTAAAAACTCTGTAACAAATGGAGCACATGTTGGGCTTACCGCAAACCCCCGAACTGCTACTCTCCATGTACGACAGTTCTTCTATACGCAAATCCTCAGTTCTAAAAGCTTCTCCAGACACTAATGGATGTAACCTTAAAAGATTTAAAGATCTTGATAACGATAAACATTGCCGTACATGTAATCCTGTTGTTCTCGATCGCCCACCACAACTAATGCCCCACTCTTATGAGGTTCCACCAATGGCACTTTGATAGTCGGCAGTGGCTTCGGTAGAACTAGGGCGTTCCCGTCCGAGCATATCCTCTTTACAATAATTTTCTTCAACCCCGAAGTTGAAAGCTCTACAGGTTTATACAGGCAGACGAATCCATTCAACGCAGCCCACACTTTTCTGGTACCCATCTAATGAAATTTCTGTACAACCAAGTTAGACCACCACCTTCCGTTAGTAACTGGTAATGACCTTTGATAAACTGAACATTGGAACAAATAACAATTTATTGAATAACAATTTAAGCGGTTTTTCTTTGGGCCAAACGCTTGTCACGCTCTTCAGCAATGGAGAGACGGATACCCTTTCCGGCTGGGAGGGAGACAAGGGCGCTGCTTCCCTTTCCAATAACGAAAACGTTGGAGATACTGAAACGATAGATTTAGTATGAACTAATACAGGACCTTAATCTCCAAAATTGTTGGATTTCAAGACCTGTAGAGGAGAAGAGTGAGAGAGAGGAACTTAACTGGACCGGCTACGTTATGGCTTAGCCCCCCGGCCTTCTCTCTCCTATGCCTTTTTACTTACCGGGTGGCGAAGGAGTGTCCAGCGGCATCCTTCAAGTGGATGATGTCGAAGGCTCCTGGGAGCTTTTCTCTGTGTCCGATGACTCCGATACGTCCAACGTTACGACCTCCGGTGACCATAGCCAAGTTTCCGGCTTCGAACTTGACCCAATCGGTGATCTTGTTCTCATTAACATCGAAGACGATGGTGTCGTTTCTCTGAAAGGGGAATAAATTATCGAACTAAAAACTTTAACATACCTTGATATGAGGATCTGGGTATCTGATGGTACGTCCATCAGTGGTGGTGATGAATGGGATTTGCTTTACGGCCATTTCAAGAGTTTTGACCTTGCAGAGCTTGAAAGCTCCTTCAGCGGCAGTGATTCTATGGGTGATGAAACGTCCCTTGGAGTCATAGAGAAGACGGAAAGTCTCGTTGGTTCTCTCGATGGTGATGACATCTGAAATGATAACAATCAACACGTTTACTTAGAAAATAGTTACTTACCCATGAATCCAGCTGGGTATTTGTGGTCAGTGCGGACTTTACCGTCAACACGGATAACTCTTTGCTTGAGGATCTTCTTGACTTCAGTGTAGTTGAGGGCATACTTCAGACGGTTACGGAGGAACAGACTGAGGGGAAGACACTCACGGAGCTTGTGGGGACCAGGACGAGGACGGACAGCGAAAACTCCTCCGAGCTTGTCGAGCATCCAGTGGCTTGGGGCTGCCAAGCGCTTCAAATGCTTCTTTGGACCACGGGCCATTTTTAAATTTTACCGCAAGCTAGAAAATAAAATAATTTTAAAAAAATAATATAATAATACTAAAATACTGAAGAAACATAGAGAAACAATGCAACTGTAGACATCTGTGAAAAAAAATATTCAGAGCTGAGCGCTAACAATTTTTAGGACAGTGGTGAGGGCAAGGTTTACTGTAGGTGTCATTCCAATCGAGACTTTTACGCGACGCCCTTTACGCGAAGACAGAGCGGCAGTGGATATTGCATTTTCGATCAAACGAGCAAAGTTGATTTTGTACTTCAAAGCTTCACAATTGAAATTTGAAAGTTTTATTAAGCATAATGTATGTTTGCTTGCCATAATCAAAAATCTTCAGAACTTGTGACTCTCTCATGTTCACTACACTACCAATATACTGTGATTCATAATTCTTTTCAGTTTAAATAAGTCCAAAGATGGATGGAGGAGCAACTCCAATGCCCGGCAGTTCTGCTGTCGTGAAGACGAATAGTATGATTTATATTTGTGGAGGTTAGTATCACTGAGCTTTTCCTCATTATTGTATTGCTGTAGAATGTCATAGCGAAAATGAAATTAGACCAAAAGATGCCATTAGATGCAGGGAGTGTGGTTATCGTATTTTGTACAAGAAAAGATGTAGAAAATGTAAGTTCCTTCACTTTCCTAATAAAGTGAAACCTTTCTCAATTGCAGTGATGGTCTACGATGCCCGATAAACCCAACTGTAAAATGATTGTTCTCTTGTTCAAACTTATTTTGTTGCCGTTGTTATATTGTTCTCAATGAATTATGAAGTACATGGATTTTCGTCTTATTTACAAACTATAATTTTGACATTATAAAAAAACATAGTACGTAATGATGGTATGATCTGACAATGATTAAACGGAATGTCTTCTTCTATCAGTATTAGCGCTTATCTGCCTGACCCCGTACAGTCTTCTTCAGTCGCTAACTCTTGTACATGACATGTTGTTGTAGCAGCTTCTCAGAAACACAATGGTTACTTTAAGGTAGGTTTTCTCTAGTCCTATCTATAACTCTATTGATTGGCAGATATTTTGTCACTGTTATCACTGTCATCCTTGGTGGTAGTGCCCAATTCTATAGTTACGGAGTAGTGAATCCAGCTCAACCCTTACTAACTTCTTGGATAAACCAAACGTATACTGAACGGTAGTCTCATATCCTATGACAAGCTGTTAACTGTATTCATTATAGATATGGAACTCCACTTTCATTAACTGTATCTAACCTTATTTGGTCTTTCATTGTTTCTAGTATTGCTGTTGGTGCTATTTTAGGTGCTTCTCTAACCAGGTACATATGAACCTACAAAAAATCATTGCTCTTTCACTTCAGAGTTGTTGCTGAACGAGTTGGGCGTCGTAATGGTTTGATAGCTAACGGCGTCGTAAATGTGTTCGGTGCACTGTTGGAATTACTTTCTAAATCTTTCAAGTAATCTCGTTGAGCACGCTTGATAAGTAGTACGCATGTTCAGATCTCCCGAGCTTCTTATATTTGGTCGCTTTATATTTGGGATAAATATGGGTTTAACTTCGGGTCTGGTTCCCATGTACTTGATGGAAATCACTCCTGGTAAATACAGAGGACCAGCAGGCACACTCCATCAGGTACTCTTTTTTAACTCTGCTCTCGTAACATCAACTTTACGGTTTCAGGTTGCTGTGGCGTTTTCCGATTGGTTCTCTTTGCTCATTGGCTTACCAGAGGTATTTAATACCAAATGTTTTGAAGATTAAGTTTTGTTTTAAAGGTGTTGGGAGGTGAAAACACTTGGCCTTTGGCTTTTGCATTTCCTGGTTTGATGGCGTTGGCGTTATGTATCATTCTGCCATTCTGCCCTGAATCACCGAAACATACTCTTAGTGCAAAAGGCGATAGAGAACAAGTTAGTCACCGTATTTTTCAGTTACCTGAATTTTTCTTCAGACGTTGATTGATATAAAACGACTTGTTGGAGAAGACCGAGCCAAGCTGATGTTTGAATCCCTCATTCGCGAAATCGCGTTGGAGAAGGTGAGCTTCATTAGCATATTCAGCCCGCGCTCGCTCGCTGCGTGGTTTTTATTTTAACTCTGAAAGACGCATGGACCGGTTGATTTTTTGCAGAGCGGAACAGGTACATTCAAGGAGCTGTTCACGCGTAAAGATCTTCGGATTCCGCTAACAGTTTCTATTTTGGTCATGATTGCTCAACAGTTTACGGGTTGCACAGCTGTATTTGCCTATTCAACTGACATGTTTATTAATGCAAAACTAACTCCGTGAGTTGCAAAGTGTTTCATTGAAGCTGAACTTGTTGTTACAGAGAAATTGCTCGCTATAGTACTTTGGCTATAGGAGTAGTTTACTTCCTTTTCGCTTGTTCCGCACCATATTTAATTGAAAAGGTAAGAACGCTTCCGATATCTCTTCTTTTGTCGAAAGTTTTTTTATTGGATCTTTTTTTCTTATCTTATCTGCAATTTTTACAGGTTGGCCGTCGACCATTGTCACTTTTCCAGCTGACAAGCTGTCTTTTTGCTCTTTCATTACTAACCGTTTTCACATATCTGCAAAACTACTGGGATGTAAGCCGATTTTGAATTTTGAGAAACGGAACTAACTTTCATAGGTGGAATGGGCCAGTTATGGAACTATCTTCGCTTTGGTTCTATATATGTGCGTGTACGGTGTGGGGTCGCCCATACCATGGATGATTACAAGCGAGCTGTTTAATCAACAGGTAACTTCCATGAGTCATTTTGACAAAGTTTGATCTAAATTGGATAGACTGATCATGGTGATCAAGTTCTCTTCCAATTTCTGTAATCTAACATCTTGCCACTGAACTTAACATTCCTGCAACCTTTTTCACTTTCAGTTCCGCGCTACGGCAGTCACTGTCTCAGTCTTCGTCGCTTGGACTTTCGCGTTTATAATCTCGCTAGCTTATCTACCATTCCAGCAGGTTTGTAGAAACTCTATTAATAATCGAAGTTGTGTCATCTGCAGCTTGTCGGAGTGTCCTTTAGCTACCTCCCATTCATCATCATAATATCTATAAGTATTGTGTTAATGTTCATTCTCCTACCAGGTAGTCAAGTTTATTTCAATGTAAATAAAATTGTTTATACATTGTAGAGACTCGCGACCGTCCAATTGAAAATATTGTACAAGAGTTTCGGCATAGACAAGCGTCCTTATCAAGTGGACGTCCATGGGAAGCTAATCGACCGGACAGTCGGGCGGAAATGCAGCAACTTATCGAAAGTGTTCAGAATAGAATCAACTATTCAAGCACAAGTTTGGATTCGTTTTAGAATTCCACATAACTCACAGCTCACCTTTTACCCAGTTTTAACATGTTTTTTCACTTTGCTTTACTTAATAAACTATAACAACATGACTTTTAACAACCGTCCATAAACTAAAAAACATTCACAAAAACTCTTCCGCCGATTCACGAGATTAACAGAAATCTTTTCTTTTCACACATTCTTCAGTGGTCTAGAGGCTTTCCTACTGACTTCGTTTTTTTTCGCAAATTTGGGTTACTGTAAGTGCGATTAGGGTTCATTTACGTACCCAGAAGATCGCCTTAATTTATCCGCTAACCATTGTTCCAAGTTACTGCTTAATCCATTTACAAACAAGAAGAAGACATTTTGCGCCTTCAGTAATCAATTTCTCCACGAGAGACGTCCGTTGTGAATTTGTGTTAGGTGATCGTTTGTTTATAAATTAGTGATTCTTGTTTATTTTTCGTGCGAGTTCATAACAAAACCCTTTGAACAAGTCGATTTTTTATTTTTTTATTCGTTTGTTGTCTCTTTTCATGTGCTGAATGGGCTGCTCATTAGGTTTTATTGATATTTTCAAACTTCACGTGTTTCATGTTCTTATTCTTCTTCTGAATATTCCCTTTCCTTATCTTCATTTCAATACTTTCCACACGGAGTGGCTCATATGCCTGTGATAACCTTCAGGTTTTCTTATTTGTTTTTCATTATCGTTATCGACTTCTTACTTTCTATCTATTTTTGTTTTTTTTTGTAAAACTCCACTTGTTCATTCAAATTTTAGATCCTTGATGGTTGGCCATCGAAGGGATCAAAGTGATAGTCACGTTCCCTTAAGGCCATCGTCAGAACTTGGACTCGAAGGAACCGAATTACAAGTATCAGTTTTCATCTCATTTACTTAATGTCTTTCTTCGATTTAGGTCCGGATAGATTCTTCCCAGCCTTCCATCAATTCTGGAGTCATGATCGACAGTAGGTGCAATGGAATTGCTATTAACATCGATCCCTCAGACCCTGATCATACAAGATCTAAAGTGGTTTGTTTATGTGCTCAGAGCGTTGTAGAATTGAACTATTGAAGGAAGATATCGAGCGCCGATCAGAAGGCTTGAAAACTGTCATCGCTTTTTTTTGTCTGATGGTCTCAGCCTTCCTTAACTTTTTCCTCTTAACTGTTATCCATGATGTTGTCCCTCGACAGCCATTACCTGATCTCACATTTATGGTAATACCTCAGCAGAAATGGGCTTGGTCCGTTGGGGATGTTTTGTCCACCGTCAGGTATGAGAAAACATTATTCGTATTCTGTTTGCATTGTGATTCTCCAGCTCTATTATTGGTTTTACCGTTGTGTTATTGCACCATGAACGATGGGTAGTCTTAAGGCGGATGTTCTTATTAGGAGCTATTATGTATGGACTTCGAGCAGTTATTCTTGGGGTAGAGCCACATACTGATCTCAAATATATGATATTTTAATTAAGGTCACTTTCCTTCCTCCCTCTTTCCACAATCGAGATGAGATATGTCAACCGCAAGTTAACCGAACTGCCATGTATGGCATGGAAATCGCTACGAGGTTTTCAGTTTATTCAAGTTGATGACTAATGAAGTTTTTAGGTTTTTGACATATGTTGTAACTCTTGGCTTGACTTCTGGACAAGAGAAGATTCTTTGTGGAGATTTGATGTTCAGTGGACACACTGTTGTGCTTACCATCATGTACTTTGTGCAGCTTCAGTACACACCTCGTGGACTGGTTCTCCTAAGGTATCTCATATGCGAAGACTTACTTTTTGTTTTATTCTGTTTTTGCAGGTATATTGCTGCTCCCATCACCTTCTTGGGGATTGCTGCTCTAGTTGTCTCAGGAGGTCACTATACCATGGACGTTTTAATCGCTTACTGGCTTACTTCCCATGTCTTTTGGGGTTATCATCAAGTTTTCGAGATGAAGAAAGAAGAGCGTCCTAACGCGCCTATGAGTAGATTATGGTGAGTGTGATGATTCTTACCTAGTTAACGAGATTGAACTATAGGTGGTTCTGGTTATGTTACTGGTTTGAGTCTGATGTTCCTCACGGAAGGTTGGAGAACAAATGGGATTGGCCGTTATCAGGTCCAGCCCAAGTTCACGTAATAATGGAGAAGATGAATCGCTACCTGAAGTAAGGAAATGATTCATACGAAGTCAGCAGCCAAAAATGGTAACAGTTACCGGTGTAAATTGATGTACTATTCTTCAATTTCTTTATTTCTGGATAATTAAGATGTATAATGGAATCCATTCAAAAGATGCCCGGCTAAATTTGCCTCTCCAGATCTCCCTTCAATTATTTTTGTGCTAATAATGCAATAATTCTGAATTGCCATAATATGTCTCACGTTTTCACACCCACACCCACACATGCACACACACATACACTTCCTTATCTCTCTTTCTCTCTACAACGTGCAGATGTCGAGTCAGCCATTGCCGGTGATTTTGTTCTCATTTTTCGTCATCTTCCTGACATTCGATTTTTTCATGACATGTTTAATCCCCTTACGTGCTTTTAGTTTACGGGAGCAATTTGTGCTATCCTATGTTCTCGACTGCCTATCTCAACATTTCTTTCTTACTTTCATCTTGCATATTAGGTTCTTTGCTAATTCGTGCCCTTCTTGCCAATTCGCATCAATTTGAAGTTGGTGTTGTACATCATTTTGTGAAATCGAATAATACTGGTACTAAATGTATGTTTATTATGCTTATTGAGATCGTATCAATCGTACTAAAGGTTCAGTATCACATTCTCCTTCAGAGTAGTTAGACCACACACATTGTCTTTGAATAGATGATGGACTTGACTTCATACTACGTTCAAGAGAAATATTATAAATGATAGGCAATGTTGACTCAGATGGAACTGAAACTGTGCGTGGTTAAGACGGACGAACAACAACGTGAACATACCTGGATCGGATAATGTCACCACGATTAACAGCATAGGAAAAGAGAACATTCTGAAAGACTCGCCAGTATAACTCTCGCTAAGTGTGAGATTAAATAAGATTTATCAAGTTTTCCGTTTTAGGGAGGAGCTCTTTCAGCCCCCTAAATCTCATTTTGTGCTAATCAAGGTCAATGTGAAATGAAAGTAAAAAAACTTAAGCATTTTCGGTTTTTATTAAATTACAGATACACGTTATATACAAAAAAATTAATTGTTTAAGGAGCTTTGCTCTACGAGACATTGACCGAAGACCCCAGCAAGCTAACAACACGAGAAACAACAGTTCATACCATTTGAAAATGAGAATTTAAAGCCTTCATAACGAGTAAATTTAGATTATTCTCTTTCTTTCCCTCTCTGTCTCTCTCTTAGGAACGAGAACGAGAACGACGGTGGAAGGGGCTTCTGCTTCTGCTGCAAACAATGGCAATTAATCACTTCATTATTACATAACGTACCCTCTCTTGCCTCTGCTAGGCCCGTCAGTCACAGAAAAGTCAACACGAACTTTGGCACCGTCAATAACGACATCAGTCATAGCCTGTTTCGCCTAAACAAAGAAACCAACGGTCAGATTATAAAGAAGCTACTAACATCCTCAGCATCTCTAATGTCATCGAAATAAATGAAACCGTATCCACGGCTTCTTCCGCTATAATGATCACGGATGATTTTAATCTGCAAGAACTCATACAATGCGACATCCTGTGCGACTACTCACATTTTCAATTTTGCCGTACTTCTCAAACAATTTTTGAAGGTTCTTTTCCGAAGTTTCCAAGCTCATTCCAAAAATGCCAATGCATCTGAGAAGGTTAGAGATTAGTCTTTGAGGCTGCTCCACTCAAACCTGCATGGTTTAGGCTTTTCACGTCCATCTCCATAAGACCTTCTCGAGGACTTTCCATAATCCGAACGACGATGATCGCGTGGAGACCTGCTCCTACTGAAACACAACAACGTTAGGAAAGCTCAAACATCAACAAGAACACTGGTAAGGATTGGCCACAACACACGGTCAGATAACCCACGCAAAAAAGGATTTACATATTAGTTAATTATGTCATGCACCATGTTTACCGTTGTCTACATGACGACCCTTCTATTTCTTAAGTTTGACCAGCACTTATTGATTGGATATTTGAAATCTTCCAATACTGTCTTTGAATTTGGAAAGCCAATCAAACGCTATTTTATTTTGCTAGCCATTCATTTTAAGTTCATTGATTTGATTTTTACTGATATGCCTAAACTGAAGACATAAATGCGGCAGTATAGGACAAGCAGATGAATAGCCAGGAAGATCAAACGCAGAGCTTTGGAGTTTAAGTTTTTGAAAAACAAACCTGCGGTAACGCCTTCTGGGACTGTACTTGCCCGAGCTGTAACGCCGAGGAGATCTTGAGTCACTTCTGGATCGAGATCTTGAACGAGATCGTTTAGGTGAAGCAGAACGAGAACGAGAGTAGCGTCGACTAAAATGAAAATTCAACTTCGAAATAAAACGGATACCCACTCTCTAGGACTACGACTCAGAGATTTAGAACGCGAGCCACTTCTAGCACGAGTAATTGGAGAAGGAGATCTTGACATGGAATTCTGGTTGAGAAACAAGTCATATTGAACCTCGAAGATAAATAACATACCTCACGTGCCATTTGGTCAGGGAATCTAGGACGCTCCACGTTTTGCAGGAAAGATAAAATTGCTTCTTTATTCTCGATTAGAAACGACTGCACGTCTGAAGCACATAAAATGAAATGAAGGTAGGATAGACAGACAATGAGTTTTCCACGTGTAATCAGTTCACGTGAAATTTTATTTCGAAATAGCTCACAGAGAAATCGGTTGCACACGGTTTTGCGAACAGTCGTAACCCGATTTCCCAACTTTTTATTTCAGCTTGACCCTAAAGCTAGGGATTTCGTAAATATGAGTAATTTAGCGCGCGTTACTTTATTACCGCGCCAAAATTCAAATTTAAATACCGTAATTAAGCATGGAGCCGTAGTGATTAGCATAAATAAGAGGATTGATAGTGTGGCAGGGAATGAGTTGATTTCGTTCGAACATGTTGAGATCAGGAGAGTGGGAGGAAGAGATGTTCAGAATATCTTTTTACTTTTTGTCTTCAAATCATAATGCTTGGTCAATAGCATCATTCATCTGGAGGGAATAAAAGGAGGTTATTAAGAAAATGCATCCAATTGTCGCCATAGCCCAGTTCAAAACAAGATGTTCCCCTTCGTTATTGACCTTCTCTTACTGATTTCTTGGGTTAACTATCGATTGGGACCATTTGAGTTTGACATATGTCAATTGACAATTGTTTCTTGAAACGCTACTTTCTTACAGCGTGGCCTTTGGTCAAACAGAAAAAAATGATATTCAAAAGACAGAATCTACATTTGAATGTTTCTGAAGACTAGAATACTCACCATGATATGATGTAGATTTCATTTTGAAAGGTTTGTGATAGATGGTAGTGTGTCTGCTGTAAAAGGCAAGATTATAACCTTCGAGAAGGAAATCTCAGCAGAACGAGAACAATACTTAACAAGATAAACTGGTAAGTTATGGAGTAGCTGGGATCTTCAGTATGAAGAAGTTGAATGAAGGACGATCTGTCAGGACAGATGCTCCCGAAAGTATAATCGAAGGAGAGCAGTATGTTAAAAACAAGAGTTGGTGAAGAGTCAAACTCTTCAAAGATTCTTTTTTTTGAAGAAGATTGAATCGCTGCAAGCTGCTGATCAGCTAGGTACTAGAAAGGTACAATAGAAGAGTTCGGGGAAAGCTTTTCTCCTGTTACAACATGGTTCTGACAAGACGAAAAATGTGAGAGATAGAGGATAACGAAAAAAAAATTATAGAACGAATATAAAGAAAAATTCAAAGCGTAGACAACAAGATCAAATACGATTAGCCAATTGGGTCATGAATGCAGTAATTCGCATTCTCTCGTCATGTTTTTTCATCTGATATGAAATCAGTTTCTACTTAAACAGTTATGGTTCACATTCATATGCTACTTCAAAGAGAGAATTAGTAAAAGATGTCGCAGCCGCAATTTGTCAGAGCATGGGTTCGGCTAATCTGACGTAGTTGTCTGTTGCTGGACAACTCCATGGTAACAACGGAAGTAGCCATGGCCTCTACCTTTGTTAATGTCCCTTTAAAGAAAACCGAGAGAAGTGTGGAAGTTAAACGAGACCATTTATTGATTATACAGGATTGGAACCAAGTTAGCACAACTAGAATAGATAAGTCAAGTCAAATGATTTTGCACTATAGTCTATAAATATCAATATCTTAGCATATCAATCGAAATAACCGTTCACAGTTTCAACTACATCGGGAGAGTCGTTGTCCTCGCAGACATTTGGTACTCGGAAATGATTCCGAACAAACTCATCATCTACTTCATCCTCTGAGTCATCATTCTCCACTTCCTGTGGAGCTTGAAGAGGCTGAGGTGCAACACGCTGTCCTCTCACCTCTGGAATAATTCGTGGGCTTGCACTAGGATTAATGTAGTCCAGGATGATTTCTTGCTCGTAATCCGACTGACCGATACCATCCACAGGTCTTGTCATTCTAGGAGCAATCAGCTCCCTGACAGATGTTACACTAATTGAATCGTCCTGGAATAACATGGTTCAGTTCTGCATCAGTGAATCAGCACTTACATTTGGTGCACCTGGGAAACAAGCGTCCAGTATAAACATCCGGTAAAGTTGTCCATCGTTTCCAGAAAACAAAGCCACCAGGTCATTAATGAAGTCTTCCTCATTAGCTTGCCCGATACCAAAAGGATGCATCTCTGTGTAATAGGCTCGAGCATGTTTAAACATATGCTTATTCAAAGTCTCACTGAAAATCAGATCACTTGAAAGGATAAGAGGGTTAGCGACTTACGGAGTATTGCGAACCTTACGGTTACATTGTCTACATGTGGTGAAAACAACTGGCAATCTGATGTCCTGGAAAAACCGGATGAAGTCAGAAGCATATTACGATTGTTACCTCAGCAATGGTTGGAAAACAGCTAGTAACGAGTGTTCTTATTTGACGGTCATAGTGATAGGAACTATCAATTACTTTAACACGCCGTTCATTGGGATGGCATGTGTGATAATGTCTGATTGCCTTAAGTAGTCAGGAATGTGATAGAAGGGAAACATCAATATTACCTCTCGAGATGACTCCATTCCTCTGAGACATGTGGCACAGTAATATGGAGAGAGATTCATGTGCTTGTTTTCCATGTGACCGATGAGATCCATTCTAAATCAGAGATCATTATAAGAGAATCCGGAAATTCATCCTCACCTATCCAGCTTAACCAATTCAGTGCAAACCTGGCAAGGTATAGCTTGAACGATGAGGTTAGGAACGGAACGATGGATTGGCATCATGGTAACTCGATGAGTCAACTGAATGAATGGCTCATCTGTATCCTTATATAGTATATACTTATGAACTTTTCTTGATATGTCATTGAATCTGAACACTAAATGTTACCAGGAGTGTCAATGCCTAGAGCTGATGCCGCGACCTTGATTATGAGAGTGCCAAAGGCTGGCCAAGGGGATGAGAGATAAAGAAAAAACATGCTTGTTTATTTATTTAATGTGATACAAATGAATAAATAATGCGAACGTATTGCTTTTTTACTTCCTCAGTTATAAGTGTGACTTCATCTTAGCGAATTCTTCTTTGGAATAGAACTTTGGTGCCGGGCTTGGAATCCATTTACCATTCTGTTCCTTGAAAGTACCTCTTTCCACATTATGTGGGAAGTTGCCACAGTTAGTTAGATCTAAGACGGGAGTGACACAGGCGTCTTTACCTTTAAGTACATAGTAAAACAAATGAGAAGAAAGAGGTTCCAACCCTTGAAAAGTTCTACCCATTCTGCCTGCGTTTTGGATTTGAAAACCGCTTCCATTTTTTCCGTTGTTCCAACTGGATCCGAATAAACATCTCCTATACTATGATCCATACCCAGTACTAAAAGAAAAGAATAGAACAGACGAGCTCATTGACAACCACCTTTGAATAAGTTAGAGTTGAACTTCGGCTCTAAGGCTCCTACTGCCATGAACTTTTCGTCTTTAGTCTCATACGTCCTAGAATAGATAATTACTAACAAAGTGAATATAGAAACATGAAAACCTTATAAGCATGGTCAAGCCGTAAGACTTCATTATGAGAACAGATAGATAACCTTACTCACTTAATCAAGCATTAAATACTTTGAATACTTGTAAACACTCTTCATAAACAATAACCGTTATCTCCTCATTAGACTTCCTTCTCTCATTTAAACCAGGAAAATATTGTTCTGACTCACCTATATATAGGACACTTCCCTTGGAAAGCAGCGAAAGGCATTTTCCAAAGATGTTCCATATCTTGGTACTGAGAGACAAAACTACCAAGATAAGCTAATCCTTCGACCATTGAACAGTCAACAATACAACCCTGACCACCTGGTAGAACGGAAGTTAATTGAAAAATGTTCAGTCTTACCATTATTTTGACGACCTAATAAAGCTGACACGATTCCGAATGCAGCAGTGAGCCCGCCGCCAGCGAAATCTGCGAGCAGATTGGCTGGTGGCCAAGGGGGGTTCCTATCGTCACCGCTCAAGATGGGAAGGAGGCCTTAATGTATTAAGCGGATTAGATTTTTGAAAGATTAGAATATTACCAGATAGAGCAACATAGTTAATATCATGACCAGCTTCCTGACTAAGTTCACCTGTTTGACCATACCCAGTTAAGCGACAAACGACAAGTTTAGGATTTTCCTATTCAATATGTTATCCATGGACAAAATATTAAATTAAACCTCTAATAGCTGTACAGGATCCAATCCCATTTTCTCAAGAATTCCCGGACGATATGGATCAAGCAAGACATCACTGCTCTTTGCCAAATTGCGAACGATTTCAACACCTTCTTTAGTTCGGAGGTCTACTCTGATAGAATCCTTTCCCCTGTTCAATCTTTGCTCGACGGTTTCGTTCTCTTCCTGAAAACGTGCAGAATAGATAGAAAATTCGAACTGTTAATTGGAATGCAACCGCTCGCTCTAAGTGCAGGCGTGAAAATGACTACTGACGCACTTGCGGATCAATCTCATTAGAATAACAGCTGAGTGGACCGTTTTACAATATCGATTGGATTGACTTCACACCGATGATCATTTAAAATAGTAATTGTCATACTTTCGATTTCTGTATTAGAGTCACATGAGCTCCCGCATCTGCTAATAACATTCCACAATGAGGAACAGGAGCTAAGCCAGCGATCTCAATGACTTTGACTCCATGTAATAGACCCTTCTTCATACTATAATAAAAAATGGAAGAATATGTTTATTGCTTATCTCAAAGACAGAAGGACAAAAAGCAAAATAGTCAACTAACATACCCAGGAATAGTTTTTTTGAGAAACATGATGAGGAGCTAAGAAGGTCAGTACTAAGAGAAGAGATACTCAAAAACTGAACTAAAGGAGAGTAATAAAATAAATTAAGAAAAAGAATTACTCAAAACTAGTAAGAAGACAGAAAGTGAAGAGCAATAACGAATAAAGCAAAATAGCATTAGTATCATCGAACACAGTAAAACGAAATGTGAGCAAGACTATGCCATTCACCACATTGGGCTCTTCTTTAAAATTAACTAACATCAATGGCATATTTTCTTGTTTGGAGATTAATGTGCCAATTATCTTCTGTTTGGCAATTATGCTTTCAAGAGGCTATTTGGAATTTATGAAAATAGATGTTTAACTTATCCTTGCATTAACAATTTCAAAAAATATATAAATTTTGTCAAATCGACAAGTCTAGTCGATAGTTAAGGTCATACCGATCGATTGTTTGCGTCTGATAAGACCATCTGTTATTGTTCTTTAGACCCTTGTGTTATTTGTCAGTCTCGAATGCTCAAGAGTATATATAGTGAGAAGGTTTATTGGATATTCTTCAAATCACATAAATAGTTCTATAACTTACTCATTTCCATTACAAGCTCAGTTTTTGACTTTTGCGGAGAAGTCTTTGAGTTCTTCAAAATATTTCTTTGAATCTGGAGTTGGGATTATCTGCAAGTATTCAACTTAGTAAACTCATGTATTGCTTTTCAAAATATTACTTCGCCTGCCGTTAACTTCTCTCGAAGATATAAACCAATGGCAATATTCTTCATGGCATGTATAGCGGAGAATGGATCATCGCCTGTCCATACATAGTTGTGTCACTTTCACATTCGATATGCACTCACCGTCAACAGTAGCCACTATGAGTTGGCCATTCTGTTTTGTTATTTCAGTCTTATGGACGTACAAATCCAAGCGATCACAACCATGTCCATCTAAGAATACGTCGGTTTTTCTAAAGATCAAGATGGAATGTTTAAAGCCGTCGGTATATGTGAGATATGATTTTTACTAATCGTAGCGTTCGTGGTGTAATGGTCAGCATGGATGCCTTCCAAGCATTCGACGGGGGTTCGATTCCCCCCGAACGCATACGTTTTGCATTTAGCAGTGATGATTATTTTTGTCAGAAAAGATGTAGAAGAGTTAACTAACCTCAGAACGTTGTTGAAGTAAGATTTTCCTTGACTGCATTTCAAGTCTAATTCACGAACGTTTCCAATTGCTGGTTTGTTCTCGCCTTTGACTGAGTAATGTTCGACGGTTGCCCCGTGGTCCGTTAATACTTTAGAAATCAGAAGGGCTTTGTTTTTATCATGTAAGATAGCGACCTCAAAGAGCATTGAAATGAAATCTTGTGAGATAAAATCAAAAACCTTTACGCCATTTAATTGCTGATTTTGCATGGCAGCTCGTAGAAGCACATTAGATCCGATATACAAATCTCCAGCGCTCTGAATGTTTTCGAACAAACACATTTGAGAATAAAAAAAAAATTACTCTTGTTGAAACGGCAGTGAATAAGGAGTACGTCTTCTTGAACAAGTTCATTCAGCTGGAAATGGGGAAATTGAGGTTGTGATTTGTTTATTTTTCAACAAAATGGCTGTGTAGAATGAAGAAGAAAAGTAAAACAGGAATAGTTGTATGTGTGTTTGGGAATGTATAGATGGAGACATGTGAATCGGGAAGAACGACGGAATGTGTTGAGGATTTGCCTTCGAAAAACAAATGCTGGACAGCTGAGCATTAAGTAAAGACTTGAGGTTTAGATCTTAAGTTCGAGCATCAATTAAAGTAAAGTTCGTGAGATAGAGATGATAAGCTAGAGGTACAGGTAGAAATGAAATTGTCGAGAAAAAACAGTACAGGTGAACAGTATTTGTTTGTTGAGGTCTTTAGTTGCCAAGGCTCGCTCGTGTTCTCCTGTTGTTGTGACAGAGACGGAGCTTTTTCATTTTTTAATCTCTGCGTCTCTGCTCTCTCCTCGACCATCGCTTCTTCAATCCTTAATTCACTAGCTCCTAATGTAATTATTTTATTATTCTGATACGAGAAGATAAAAAAAATATTGTTTTTGAAGCAAAACGTGCGAGCTCTCAATATAGTTGACGATACGATTGCTGAAGGAATTGTTTTGATGGCACTCATGGCTGTTTTGCTGGGCAGAGATTACGAACTCTCAGTCGATTTTACACTTATAGGGATATAACGATTGTTCAAAAGGTAAACAATTAACTTATCTCAACCAACACAGAGAGAGAGAGAGAGAGGGAGAAGGGAGCTCTGTCTTAGCTCAAAGTGTAATGAGATAGAAACTAATTAGATAATGCAATTTAATTTATTAAAAGCACTCAAGTTCAGAGGTAGCATTATCTGCTGGAATTGATCTGGCACAAGGAGGACTTAAGCAAAAACAATTACGTTAAAATAATTAAATCTTTCCTTCAAACACATGAAGGGCGACGGCCATAAAGAGCAAGAAGATACACATGTGCTCAACGGCGATTCTGTTTCTTGAGCACGCGAAAACGAAAAAACAAAGATTTGAAAGAGGAGCGAAGCCACAAGAGCAATCGATGAATCTTTCAAATATTTTTTTGCCATTCATCACTATTTGCAAATGAAAGGAATTAAAAGTAAAACAAAAATGAAACTTGTTCCCCCCCCCCCCCCCCACCCCACAACAACTTAGTGTTTACTCCTTTGCACACCATTCCTGGTTACACTCATACACATACGTTTCAGAGCTTATGTACCCAATCATCACAATGTCTTTCTAATTCATATAAAATTAATTTATTTTCATTCTTTAACTTATTTACAGTTATTACTACAATTTCTTCTGAGAGAAATTGGTATTTTACAGAGAGGCCTGTGTCATCTCGTAGTACAGGCTCTTTAAGGCTATCAGTTCATCGTGATTTCCTTCTTCGGCAACCTAAACACATCTTCTATATTTGGTAAAGATTCTTAGATAACGTACTCTGCCATCAACAATAACATAAATTCTATCAACATTACGTATAGATGAAAGACGATGAGCAACTGAAAGTAAGTATTAACAAGATTTTCTATGAAGGGTTTCTTACTATGAACACAGGTACAAGTCTCCTTGGCGTTCTGGAAAGCTTCTTTCACTGCCTACAACATAGTTTTGTATATTGGAGAGCTATTCTTCAAAACAACCTTTTCACTTCCACTATCTAAGGCTGCAGTTGCCTCGTCCAGCAATAGAACTGCAGGTTTTCTGATAATGGCCCGAGCTATAGCTATCCTCTGTTTTTGTCCACCAGATAACTGCGCTCCGAACTCGCCGACTTCCGTATTGTAGCCCTAGAGGAGCTAGTTAAGTTGAAACTAATTAAAATTGGCTAACTTGAGGCAAAGTGGATATGAAATCGTGAATATTAGCAATCTTAGCTGCTGCAATGACTTTGTCTAAGGTAGACTCAGACTCCAGTAAGCCATACGCGATGTTCTCCTTGATCGTAAAGGAGAACAACGTTGGTTCTTGTCCAACAGAGACTACGAACCTTCGCAAATAGGAAGGATTAATTGATCTTACATCATGTCTGTCAATTGTCTGAATGAGTACAGTGAACCGGTGTTCATATGCTTTGGACTCACCACACACCCATCAGTTGGACTATACATTCGTTGGAACAATCCTATTATGGAACTCTTGCCTGAACCAGATGGACCAACCAACGCGATAGAAGCTCCTGCATCTACCTGAAGCGAAACAATAGCAATAAGTTGGATTATTTAGTTCTTTACTCTTATATCCACTCCCTTCAGAATAGGTACAACCGGTCTTGATGGATAACGGAAGTGAACATTGTGCAATTGAAGGGTTCCTTGTAACTTCTATAAAATCATATGTGTCTGATACTGTACTATGACATACTGGTCTTAAGCCTTCTTCGCTCAAGTTATCCATATCGACAGGAGCTTCCTTTATGATACCCATCACACTTTCGGCGGCTACCCGTGCCTTAGAGAAGTCTGTTACGGAAGCTATAAGCTGTGAAAAGAAGTTTGCACCGAATTGAGTGAGAAGGACAACCCTGTAATCAGAAGAGTTATTACGGAATTCGAAGGGTTGGTCACCTCATGTAATCAAAAACTGAAATTTCATTAGATATCATCATTATTTTACCGAAGTGGAGAGTTATGGCTATCAAGATGTAAGTGAAAGAGTATTGACAGGCGAATACAAAGGCGGAAATGACGGATTGTCGTTTCATGGCTCTAGAAGAGAGATACTGTTGATCTGTTTACAAACAATTCTTACTTCGATAGAGGTTTTAAGGCATCTGTGAAAACAGAATAGAAGTGTTCCTGTAGATTATAAGCTTTGATGGTGGACATGTTTGAAAGAACTATTGTGATTAAGCTAGCAGCTTTCTTCTCTTCTTCCATCATTTGTCTTTGACTGAAGGTTGAGTCATAAAAAGGTGGAAAGAGTTATCGTTATCCTTACCGTTTAGAACCTTCTTTGATTTGAAGAACTCTGATGATAAAGTATGCTGGGAATTGGAAAGAGCAAAGAAGAGCCATTTTCCAATTTATATATAAAGCAACAATGATTGAAAAGACTACAAGCGTGATTATGTTTCTTTGATAGTTATACTAAGTGACTTACTACTACAGATGAAGGCCGGTATGAGCAGATCCAGCTTCTGCTCCATTATCTTGTTGAGAGTTTCGGAATCACTGATAATCTGAACGTGTGAGGCTAATAAGATCAATGAGAGAAAGTAGGCAAACCTTATGTACAAGTCTTCCTGGATTATTTCTCTCTTCATCGAAGTAGGCAGTTCCGTGCCTCATGATCTTGGAGAACATTTCGGTTCTCATGTAACTGCATATACCGTGCCCGTATAAAGCAATAAAAAGACGCTGCAAGATGGAACTTTGATCAGAGGATAATGCTACGACTCACCCCCATAGCTTCAAATATCGTCTTGATAATGATCAATGCTGTATAAACAGCAGAAACCATGAATATCTCTTGAGGTCTGTCCTCTACAGGAACTATCGACAACTAGAAACCATCTCACTAAGGATGTAACACGTGAACCTGCTTACCTCCAGAACAGATGCAACTTGGAAGCATATCAACAAATAGAAGAAAGCTCTCACTATAGTGGTAGGGATAGCGCCGATCAAATATGATTGTCCTTCCTTAAAACCTTTGATCAAACTCCATACAGCATGATAGTTGTTCTTATGCCCCGGAAGCTAAAAATTTATTTGATTAAGATTCACTCCAGCTTCATACTTTAAGGAAATCTTCGTCTTCGTCAATAGTAGGTGTGCTACTGACATCAACATCCATTTGACCAACATTTGAGTATTTGTAATCAAGTCTTGCGGAGCGTTTCTTACTCATAACTAAACAAACCTATTTCATTCATTATTCGTAATGAAGCATCCCCCACCTGGCAAAGCGAGTTTCTCTCCATCTTGGCTTTTGATAGAATAGGATTTTCCTAATTTATTGTTATGGCCTAATGACCTTCGTGCCCATGCTCTTCTATGAGATTCGGGGTCCTTCAATTACTTCTATCAAACGAAACGATAAAATGATAATAAAATTACGAGAATAGTATCGGCCGAACCGACAGACATAGTTGCCATCAATGTTGGCTTTTGAATGGGGTTTCGAGCCAGCTGATCTAAGCTTTGATCCATATACATCTAAAAACAGATAATCATATGTAACATCATATCCCATAGAGACTGACTTTTCTGAAACGTCCACCTTCCCTCGCTAACAACTCATCAGGTGGCCCATCTTCCACAATCATGCCATCATCAATAACTATTACACGATCTGATGTTTTTGCAGTTGACAACCTGTATAGCATTCCAAGAGTTGAGTCAATTCATATAATACTGTAGTAGTACCTATGAGCTATGGATATGGTAGTCAATCCCTCGGAAGCCAAGTCAATTGCTTGGCACACCTCTTCTTCGTGTTTGTTGTCAAGAGCAGAAGTTGCCTCATCAAAAATCAGTACAGTAGGTTTGCTGCAAAAGCATTTGTTTTCTCGTATCTGCCAAAGTCACAATTTACCGTATAACAGCACGCGCAATAGCAACACGTTGTTTTTGACCTCCAGAAAGTTGGATACCTCTGAATTAGTAAAGAAATGATTTGTATTTCAAAGTTATAACATGCCGATCTCCAACCCTCGTTTGCATTCCCATTGGTAAGGCACTTATGAATTCCCACGCACCAACTTTTCTAGCAGCAGCATTAATTTCTTGCTTAAAACAAAAAGGTTTCACTTCATGACCACATCTAACACCTGTGTAGCGTCAAGTCTTCCATAACGAATATTATCACTAATAGTTCCATCAAATAGTACCGGTTCTTGACTAACCAAAGATAGTTGAGCACGCAAATCATCAGGACATATATTTCGAATGTTATCACCATCTAAATAAACCTGTAATGACATTTAATATAAATTAGCAAGAGTTGAGAAAGTGATGATTGTTCTTACATTTCCTTTCTGTGGATCATAGAATCTAAGAAGTAGGGCAGTCAGAGTACTTTTTCCTGATCCACTTGGACCAACTATAGAAACTCTCTCACCAGCATCAATTGAAAGTGAAAAATTTCTTAAAACCTATGACAGAAGTGATATTAATGTTCTTAAATGAATGATCTCACTTGAACATCCGGTCTTGTTGGATAACAGAAGCCAATATTGCGGAATTCGATTGCCCCCTTGCCTAAGAAGGAAGTATAAGTTGAAGGAAATATCCGATTAAGACACATTATCATTTCCCATCATAACACATTATTAATTACTGTTTTAAAAAAGTGTGAGAGAAAGGAAAACTTGATTAATCTCTATTCTGAAAAACGAACCCATGAACTTCATTGATTGCCGACGATACTTAGGTGTTGGAATCGGCAGAAATGGATTAACAACGGCAAAGTAGCATCGATCTGGTTCTACCACGGAAGCTTCCTCTGTAATCATATTATCAATCTTCAACAGTGTAGAATATGTGTTTACTGAAGATTTTGCCCATCTCTTTGGCATTTCCTCTGGCGACACCGGCGCCATTCATGTGAAAACCAATGGAAATCGAGGTGACACACATATACAACATGTTGATAGCCACCTGAAAGATTCATTTTATAAGTGTATCACACATTATTTTCTTACGGCACATAGAGCACCAGGCTCTTTGTCTCCAACTCTCCAGATTCCATAAGACAACGCCGCCGTAAACACGAGTTCCGTGAGTAAAACCTAAAGAAGACTGTTCCGAGAGAGACGGTAACACATTAATGACCTGAGTTAAACTATCATAAACCGTGGAAGATCGTAAACGTTGTTCTGTTAACTGATTGTGTTCATGTGATAATCGTTCAAACCTTCAAAATATATTTTTCCTCTTTGAATATTTCAAATATGCAAATTACTTGACGATGGTCTGCCTTTGAGCAGCGAACGCAATGACCGTTCGAATGCAACTGAAGGTTTCATGGACGAGATTTGTTATTTTGCATTGTAGTTTGTTCTCTTCGTCTAATGTCTTAGCAAACCACTGCAAAAAGAAAAAAACATAAAAAAAGGAATAAAAATGAAGAAATTTAAAAAGATCTTCGTAGACAACCAGTTCTGGCCGCCGTTCATCTCAAAATGAAATTTGCATTTGAATTGTTCGCCACGTGCGAATGGCGTGAAATTCAAATGTCGATGTAAACAAACAACAAGCACAAAAACAATATTGATTGATTGGATCTGTTCTCACCCGACTGAATAGGATGCGACTAGAAATGAGTAATGGGATAGCAGTGCACATCAGCAGCATAACATCCCATTGTATGTACATACAAACAACTGCAACACTCTCTATCAGTATTAATTAAAGGTCTATGTCTTACATATATTAACTATGAGGTAAATCGATATGAAGAGAATCATAGGCATATGATCAGCGATGGCATTGTAAACGGAATCGGCATGTCTGCAATTTTTCGGTTTTTTTACATCCGGATAGTTGTTAGCATTAGATATTTCGTCAACAATTTAAACTATTTAGATTATTTATGTTATTTACTCGTGAATCATAGAAGCCACATGTCCCGACTGCCTTGACTCTAACCAGGCAACATCCATATGAAGCAATTTACGAACATAGGCTCGTTTTATTCGAAACACTTGACGAATGCCTGATACTTCCCATGCCAGACGCTGTAGTAAAGGGCTAATCAAGAGGTCTAGAGATCAATGATTACCTGTACGAAGGCAGCAAAGAACATGGTTAAGCTCAAAGCTAACATCGCCATAAACGCTGGCGTAGCGCTGGACTCGAACTTGCTGTCGATGTTACGATCATCATCGAAGTCTGTGACGTTTTGGTAAACGGAAGAAGTAGAGTTACTTATCCGAATTTCCTGTAACAGAGGTTGTTCACTCCTCTCGAGGTGGTTTAGTTGATTAGTTTGAAAACAGAAGCGTAGAACATGTTTGAAACAGAAAAAAGAAGAAACGACTCCGACCCTTTCGGAAGTCTCGAAAGAAGTCGCTCTGATAGAAAGAAGATTTTATATTTTGTTTTTACTGATTCGCAACGATGATCTGATCACGTTGGAACTGTTTTTGAATTAAAATTTAAGTTTTTCTCGAACTTTCCATCAATCTGTACCTCACGTGAAATGGAGAGCGTCACGAAGTTGCCCATAATAAGCCACACGAAGGGTGGTACAACAGCTTGTATGATAGAGGCTATTAACCCGACTGCCATTAACTATCAATCAAATCAATCATACCATTGTATATAGTACTGCTCATCATACCTTACAATCTGTCGAATCTGCGAATGCGTACATGCGTTTGTAGCATTTCCAGAAACTGTCTTCCTTTTCTTTGACAGGCTTCTTTATAGAGGATATGGACGTCACATCATAAGCTTAAATGCTAATGTGAGAATCAAATTAGAGATAAAGGTCACTTTTGATATCCTTTTTTGGGTCATCTATGTACAAGTTACTAGAATCGATGGTATACACAATGCTTTTCTCCGACGTTTTGTCAGATTTGGAGGATTCTGCTTCCTCCATGGTTGAGGATGTGATACAACTGTAAGTAGAAGAGAGTTAGCAGTAGTTAAGAGGTTCAAAAAGGATGAGGAGAGAGAGATAAGGAACGATATATTCCTGTTAACAGATGGGCTTTTGCATTCACTTGTTTTGCCTCACAATGCCTATGACCATAAATGGCGTTGAAACGTGTTTCTGGTTGTTTCTTCAAGAAGTTACGTACTTTCACCCAAAGACTTAATGGAATAAAAAAAAACTTGAAATTTTCAATTTTGAAATTTATTTTTTGAAAAAATGAAAAGGTCAAGTGAATTAAATTAAACGAAAAACAGTAAAAGAGAGAGAATTATCATAGAAAGGACACTCATTATGTCATTTCTGGACGAACTTTGGTTGCAAGAAGGTGAAGTGCTAGGTAGAGGTGATGGAAGGGTATGGTACTGCACGTCGTTCCGTACGCAAAGCAATTCAACTCGGAAGTTGTAAGTGAGACGAGAGAAGTCAGTTATCTTCTGACAGATCAATGAGTACAAAGTTTGTGAGAAAAACATTCATTTTGATAGTAAAATATGATTAATGATTGGTAAAATAAACAAAATGAGATGGAGAGTTGACAGATTCCTTCAGGTGACAAGTAACGATAGATGTAAGGCCAATACAACACTCAGCCAGAAGAAGGAGGAAGAGGAGGAGGAGGAGGAGCGCAGCCGAAATGGCAAATAAGGAAGCGATTGCTTCAAAATCTTCATAAATTAGGTTAATAATGCGTGGAAAAACAAGAAAAAAGTTGTTGGACGGTAAAGGAACAGAAATCACAATCAGATGATGCAACTTCTGAGTTGAAGTGAGTGAGATGATGATGTGAGGCGCGTGAGGGAAGATGGCACCTTGAATGCCATCCACAAACACAATCATGGCGTTCGTTTTACAATCAAAAAGTATTTTTTTAAAAAGAAAAAATAGAAAATTTCAAATTTGACCTACATCAGGTTTCGTTCAGGCGAAATCTGTTATCATTTAAATGAAAATTTGCGAAAGGGAAGGTTCAAGGGCAGGAACTACGACAGAAGATTTACGTCTGATCAATTGGCATTTGGGAAGTTGAACCTTATTTGGACATAAGAAATGTAACAAAAAAATGTTTTTGTTCTCTACGCAATCTTCGGCGACACAAACCGTCTGCTTCCGCATGTGAGCGTGTGTGTGAGAATTGAAGGTGAAAACCGTGTGTAGCCGAGTGCGGTACGTTGACGGCTAGCCACTCATTAAAGGCTATTTAAGCTTGTATGGAAAATTACACTGATAGACAGTGAATCATCAAGGAAAAGAAAGAATTCAGAAGTGGAACGACAGACGAAAACAGATTTGTAAGGTCAATTTAGTCATACGCAAAGAAATGGATGATCAGCAGCAACAGCAACAGCTAGAGGAAGCATTGGCGAACAAAAGAAAGTCTGCTTCTCAACATGATTGTTTGAGCTTTGAAATGTAAGTGCGAATTAGGAGGATGACCATTCATAGACATTAACAGGTAAATCCGTAATTGATGTTACTATTTTTAGACAAAAAAATCCCAACGAAGTTCAATTAGGAGAGTGAGAGAGAGAATGAATGAGGTGAGAAGAGGAAAAGAACATTCTCAAATGAATGCAATGATGATAAGGAAAGGTAAAGATGATGGTGATGGTGGTGGTGGTGATGATGATGGTGAATGTCATTTGAAATGTTTTACTAGAAATTCACAAATCACAAGGTTAATATAAGTATTTGAAAATAGACGTGAGAATGAACAAAAAATGATGGAAAGAAGAGTAAATAATAATTAGAAAATTGGCAGAAGGAGACAAGTTTCGAAATGAAATCCTAACAGGTTTTAGGTAAATTCGTTTGTGGATAACATACACACATACATATGTCATCAATTAATCTTCTCATATAAACAGTATAGTTAAGAGAAGCACTTACTGTCTGAATTATAATATCAGAATAAGATTATATATATATATAAATGTATATATATATATGTATTTCTGAAAAATGATTATGAATTCCATTTCAATCAGACCTATAACTGCTTGACGATGTTGGCCGCAACTAGTTTAGAATCTTTTCTTCTCATATCATTCCTTCAATTGTTACACTTCTTCCCTTCTTCTCCTTCTCTCCTTAGCCCACCCTGTGAATCCTCTTCCAATTAATTAACTAAAACTTTATTTTTGAATAAAAATAACATCGAAACATAAAAAGCAAACAACACTAACACTAACGAGCAATCCTTCCGAGCTCCTTGTAATCAAAATCAAAAATGGAATCACAGATAGATGGCGGACCGATGAACGGCCAAAACATCCTTCACTT